ACGACGAGTCTGGGGCTGCCATAGGACTGCCGATCAATTGACCCCTATATATAGGCCTACCTCAACTGATCGGCATATATTCCATGGAGCGTCTGGGTACTGGTAGCCGGACATACCAAACGTAGAGAGTTGCTGGTAGCCGGACAGGACCAGTTCCGAACACACCGTCGCAGGACCGTAGCCGGACACACCTGTTGACGATGAGAACTGGTCCACCAGCCGTCTGCCACTGGTCCACTCTGCCCTGGTCACATGGTCACCACACTCACAGACTCTCAAACACGCTTACATATGAGGACAGGGGTACCGGGTAGACTGAAAACAGATCGTTGAATGAATGAACCCTAGGCCCTGAGATTTATTAATGAACCTGTGACTGGGGTATTCCACCCAGTATTAAGTGGAGTCAACCGACCATTGTTGCTACTTCAATTCGTTGATGTCACACAGTCGCACATCCGGTGTATCCCATCAATTCTGACTACACTGGCAAAACACAGAATCAACTTGATATCCGGCACAATCTAGGATGTGTACCAAAGTCTACACCTGGCCCATCCTGACCCAGGTGATTTGGAAACAAATCTATTTGACAGCTTTATCAGGAGCTTCCAGCCTCAATCTACAGAAGACAGTGGAGGTCATGGCACAAACTAAAACGTCTCCAGTCGATTGTACAACGGAGTGCTGTCCTGTTTGACAGGTCTGTCCATGTTGGTTGGCAAGGGCCTTCATGAATGCAGCAAATTCTAGACAGTGCATTTTGCTTCAAACCGTCATCTTTCAAAGAGCCACCAACATCAGTCTGCTGCGTGATGTAAAGAACCCCAAAACATACTCCTGAGGCCCGGCCGAGACAATTGGGATAACGTGGGAAACCCATTTCCCAAATCGCCCAAATAGAAATGGAACAAATCGAAGATCGCCGCCCTCGGTCGTTGAATCGTGTCCGCGGTGCATCATCGCATTGCCCCAATTGCCATTACCTGCGCGGCGTTGAACCAGAAACCGGAGCCATGTCCAGGGAGATCCCAAGAATTGAACATGTCGAGTTTCTTGTTCAACATTTTACATGTTCTTGTTTCCTGCTAAAAAAAATAGGTCGATGGTCACTATAGTTCCTAGGTGCATCATGTGCGTTACCATCTTTGACATAGCTTCCAACTCACCCCAGGTGGCTTCGTTTGTTCATGGACGATGGTATCCAAGTCCCTGGATGCGGACGTGAGGTCTCTTGGACTCCGCCAGAATTCCGAACCTTTCTCCTCAATCTTTGTTGGGTCCCTCATGGTCCCCCACTGCTCAAACATGAACATGTTGGCATTCCATGCGAACAAGCCCAATGCTTCACATCTTGTGATGGCGTTGCTGCTGACCTTCAAAAAAAGACATGTGAGCCCTGGTCAAGACCTCTAGCCAGCTGAGGGATATGAGTTTCAACAAACAACTACGACTACAACTCAATACAAAGAACCTGATAGGTTGCTAACGTATTCAATTTATTTCAATTTCCCATTGTCGTGTGGGGTCTGTCCCTCAAACAATTCAAACGATTGCGTATCGTTCCAGTAGATCTATTGAATTGGCGCACTCCCCAGAGCAAATGTTCGCACGGCTCTGGGGAAAGGCCTGTATGCCTTTAGCATGTATTGGAACCTGGGAGAAGGAATTCCGTCTTATAGATTCCCTTCGCCTGCAGGGGGAGCACACAGAAGAACAAACAACCACCAATGATCACAATGCCTCCATGTTGAATTGGATTTGTCATCATGGCCATACATTCACATGGCCATAGACCTAAACCCAACCGGAACGACCCTCAGAACAAAGATCTCATCTGTACTGTCGATCTGAAATTGCGAACATCTACGTCTGATGCGCGCGTCTGGGCCTGGTGGATCAGGAGGGTAGAGAAAATGCAATGAAAAGATCAGAAGTGTCAGGATCAGGAACGTATACAGCAAGTCCTTCCACTGATCGTCAACCAACTCCTTCAAGTTGGGATTGTGGACAGGATAGCTGTCAGGCGTCGCAAAGACATCAAATAGTGCAGAAGCCAAAGGTTCAAATCGGGTGAGTTAAGAAATTGGGCATCTTGAGCCACATCAGTCAACACCTCAGAAGGGCGTCGTCACTTGACCTGACGCTCCTCTCCTGCTAGTATCGAGAGCCAACCTGGCACTGCAAAACCTGGCGTCGCTCACCCATGATGGGGAAAGCAAAGATCTTTGCTGCATCAGCCTGATTACAGCCTGAGAGCACATCAATGATGCCCCTGCACATTAACGCAAATACCGTCAAGAACCTGCCCCCGGGACCGGGCAATAGAAGAATGTGAACGAAACCTTCCTCTGTTCACTGGCGCCTCTTGATGAACCCTCAAGAGCCGCCAAAGCAATTTGATAATTTGTAATATCAAGACTCCAACACCACAGGTTTCAGGGGGTCACTTCCCGGCCCTCTTTCTTCACCTATCCTCCCCCCACTTCCATGGCCAACAGCCCCAACCAACCACGGCCCTCAAAAATGCGTGCAAGCGCCCGCGCCCCAACCGCGCCTCCAGGTGTGTTCCATGGGATCCAGCCTGGCAAAGATCCGATCGCGCGGGTCCGTCCAATGGATTCCCCGAAAGCGTGTCCGAACGAACGAAGTCGCCGTGATCGAAAAGGTGCCTTGATCTTAGGCCCGTGAGGAGAGAGGGGACTGGAGGAGAGAGGGATGTACAGGATCCTCTCCTCCAGTCTCGTGTACGGAAGAATCAATCAACTGATGGCATCTGATTTTCATGTCAACTCATCTGTCGTGGCGGAGGGGAACCTTCGACTGCACAAATGTAATTACAACATCTTCCGGTCATTGGATGTGTGCTGTGCTGTATTTTGCATGTACGTGGACGTTTTATCACACAAACGGTCACAATGCTCTGTTGACAGCCTGACACCCTGGAGTCTTGCTTACGGCTCTATTGATCTACCTACACAAGGAGAAACAAACATTCTCAGCACGAAACATGCAGTGCACTTTGCTCCGACAAAGAAAAGGCATGAAAAGGCTGAGTCAGGATAAGTCTTGTTTTCGCACTCACTGTTCGCAGTCTTCCAGTGATCACAACGTCCGCCGCCCACCGGAACCGACCACCGGAACGCGCGGAACGCGCGGAAGGTGTTCCGAGGCGACGGGTGGTTGACGCTTCGATGCGCTCGGCCTGCACCGCCCAAATGAGCCTGAGGAGTGTCGAAGCACATAGATGAGCATCGAAACGTTATGTGTGAGGAACTCCCGCCAAAGAAAGAAAAAGACCATCAGCACCTCCATGCAAGTATATATATTTAAAAAAACACACACAATTCAAACATCCATCGTTTTGGCCCTGCCCGGTGACCACGGTTTTGTGGGAAAAAAGGGGACACGGGTTCGAAACTTGTAATTTCAAGTTGCCAGGTGTGTGGAAATTACAAGTCCTTTCTTTTCAACCAACATGAACATCCACAAGTCACTTGGAGTCCAATCCCCACATGTATGTGTGTGTTTTTTCCCCCCAAGCCGAGGACACTGTCAAGACCTGAAAAAAGCCGACCTGAAGGGAACGTCGATTGTAGGGCTTGTCACCTGTAGATGGGACTTGTCTCACATGAGATTGGCCATAGCCTACGTTAAACATCTTTAAACTGGTTGATTTAACATGTTGTGTAAATGCTAGTAGTAAGAATGCAAGTGTCCCAAAATCGTTCTGCTGCAAGCTGGTTATGGAGAAAAAACTCTCCCTCAGTTCCCTCATCTTCGCCATTCTCTCCGCCTCCGGGGACTCCATCCTGGCGACTGGCGCTTTGGGACAAAGCACTTCCTTTACTGCTTTGGTCTGAGAACAAATCCACCCGTCAACTTAAAGCTCATGCTAATTTCGATGGATTCAGGGTCTACGAGGTCTATGTGGACATTTGGTTGGGTTTCCAACAGAATGCCCTATGTAGATATAGCTACGTCAAAGTGACTTCCTGGATTTCTGGCTCAGCGGAACTGGTGACTCAAATCCAAGAAAATTCCCTTTGTTCTGAATAAAAACACATCACATCATATCACATCCAGAAATGAATAAATCCATATTTAAAAAAAACTCATCAAATTCTGATTGGTCAACGCACTTCACAGGTCACGAGCGACCAGTTAAAGGTCCGACATTCCCAGGTGCAACCTGGGATTCGTTGAATTTTAGATTCCTAGACCATTCAAGAACGCAGCACTTGGTCGTTGCCATTGACCAAAATAGGACCTTCTCAGTTCCAAAATGTCTCTGGCTTCATTCCATGTCAACACTGCAAAAAACGAAGAAAAACACAAACTGACACATGGAAACAACCGCAAAAATGAACCCAACTATCCGAACTCAGTGATCAACATGGACACATCATCAACACAACACTCCCATCCCACCATGACGTCCGGTCTTTTTGCCGCTGACGGTGAAACACCGGAGGTCGTGCCCGTTCCGGCGCCAGGCGCTCCAAAGGCAGTGGGTAACGGGATGTAACGGGATGTAACCGGATGTAACGGGTGTTTCTTTTGTCACACGTGACACGGTCTGTTCCTTCTTTTTGTCAGGAAATCTATGGAACACATGTTGTTTGATGGGTTTGCTACTCACTGGCTAGGTCAGTAACAGGTCCACGTGCTGGTGAACCAAAAGAACACAGAAATTACCAAAGATAGCAATAGTTTTCCTGGGCGGATGGTACTTGGAAAGCTCTGGTACTTTGACTGTCTCAAAAACTAGCGAAGAGAAACCCACACAGCAATTTGGAACAGTTTCAGCATTGCAAATAGAATTGATTTGGTTGGCTTAAAGTTTAAAAAGAACCTCAAAAACACAAAACAACAGGAAATAACAACAAGTTGCGACTGTGTGTGTTTTTCTTACAAGAAAAACCTGCCCTCAAGGGTCGGTGCCCAAGCTCAGTGCCTTTGGGTGGCGCAGTCGCCTCAAACCGCCTAAAACCGGCGGTCTAGGACTCCTCCATCCGATGGGCTTCGTTTTTGGAGCTGATCACCTCGGAAGTCGTCTCCGGGTGGAGCGGTGACTTAGGTTGAGGCCGTGGGGTGAGCCGTGCGGTCCGAGCCATGGATGTCGGGCAGTCACCCCACATCTTGGATCAGTGATCTACAGCTAAATATATGACTGTTCATACAGTTTATGGTTAATTACTATATTCTGTAGACACTCCCCAGAGTACACAAACAAGCAACCAAGTAGCAGCCCATGTTTTAACCCCTGCTTCTACCGCCAAAAGTACTGTCCCATCCACCCATGAGGCCAAATGTACTGGAATGATCTGGAGCCTGGTCTGGAGTGATCACATCATGTCATCCAAATGTCTGTCAACTCCGTCTGCAAAACAAGGCAAAGTTCCTCTCAAGGAACAAGCATCTGGGTGAAGCATACAAGTGTTTGCCGTCAATGGTACATTGGTTGCAATGGATGCGATACAGCTGACTGTCAATTGAACATTGTCCAAGAACACAAAACCATGCCATCTCTGCGAGAAGTCTTCTGACAAGGGGTGACGTTGAACTTTACTGTGTCCAACCAAGCCTCCAACTGGCCCCGAGCAATCCGAAGTGTTCACACATCACAGGGCGGCCCACATGGGCTAACACATCCGCCCAAGAATAAATCATTCACAGGGGCCCCCCCGGGCCAGGGCCAGCGAACGTGGGTCGCGCCGGCCATGCGAACGTCGGTCGTCGCACCAAGCGGCCACTCCTTGACAGCTCAGCGTGGTGAGGCCTGATCGATCGGAGAGGCGGAAGCGGAAGTGCGCGGCGGAGGAGGCGGCGGCGGCGGATCGGAGAGGGTTTCCGCCGGGATCTTCCGGGCCAAAGGGGGTTGGGAATGGGGAAGTTGACTCAGTAGCCTTCCAACCTCCCCGCGGAACAGGCACTTGTCCAACTACAAACGACGTGTCGTCCAAATGTTTCTGTTTCGTCATGGGCCGTTTTGGGACCGGCAACTCGCTGGGCGAACCCCAACGAGGCAAGTCGTGTCAAAGCAGCCAAAGCCCCAGTCAGTATCTAAAAGTGTATTTAGCTGGTGAAGGTATGTAGCTGGCTAGAGCATGCCAGTCTTGTTTAGCATGTCCCAGTCAGTTTAAAGTGTTTTCCAGTCCCAGTCTCTCCGTTGACCTCTTTATCCTTCACCTCCTAGGACGGACTGCCCGCGACCCTCGGCTCGGCTCGGCTCGGTCGAAGCCAAGGGACTTCGTGGTAAGTTGGCATGCTCCAGGTCCTGGGAGAAATGAAGGAAAGCCACGTGTAGAAATCACACATGCCAAACACCACACTGAAACGCCAAATGGACCAACGTGATCAACCATGGAACAACAATTCACAACATCAGTGGTTTCGGCTCCAGCGGGGAGTCAACTCCAGTAACCCCCGACAGCGGGGGGGGTCCTGGAACCGCTCATTCCAGTCGTGATCGTTGAAGATCAGGGTCGTTAAGTTCGGCAAAATGATTTGATTCAAGTTCCTCGGGATTCCGACGACGATGTGATGTGACTGTGGTCCCGAGTCACGGGAAATGCCACATGCCTATGTATGTGTATTGTCCCCAAGTGATGTGGTTCGTGCAAATGATCCTACCTTTCTTGCTCGTGAATCACCACAAAGCAACATTGGGGCTGCAAAGAATCTAGAAGACTGAACATATGCCACTACAAGTGGGGTTCATCCCGTGACCCAGTAAGGCTATTATATGGTCAATTACTTGTTGCTTGGATTTCATAAAACAGGTGATATATCATTTGTGTTAATTACTAAAATAGATATGCCTTGGTTGTTATTACAACATGTGGATTAATATGCCTTGGTTGATGCGCCTCTCTCAAGTATTAAATCTGGAGCAAGGCGTGCTCCCAGATTCCAAGAACGACACGGCACTTCCGGCACTCTATTGCGGACTTGCCCCAATTCCCGACCCTCAAACTTACATATAGTATCATGGCATATCTAGTTACATAAACATTGCCGCATTGCCTTGAGCAATGTGTGGCAACCAAAGGCATGTTAAACAAGGGCCCGACTTTTGTGAACCTCGACGGACACCAGGGCGCTGATTGAAGGCACGGCCAAAGGCCAAATGCTGCAGTCCGTCAGGGAATTTCACACGTTCCTGAGACTGGGGGTGCAGTGGCTTGCAATCAAGCACAGTGGGTGAATAGAGTTTGGTGGCAAGGACATCAAGAAAGAACATGTCCTGTCTAATTATATAAAATTGTCAAAGGAGGGATCCTTCTGAGAAAACCCTTGTTTCACATACGCTTTGCATCAGCACGCACCGTTTTGAGAAAGCAACTTCTTGGCAATCCTGCAGTGGTAGCTGTACTGTTTAACGATGTATTGTGGTGCACTCAAACTCTCCAAACAGACCTGCTCTTCAACAAGATCTTGTTCAACCGATCCAAAAGGTGCACATTTTGGACGAGACTTCCTTCAAACGCCATGCGTCTTTCGTCTCCATGCGAGGAAGTCAACGGTCCCGTCGGTTCTTTGGCCATGCTGCACTTCTGCCAAGGCTCTAAGGAGTGGTTGAAGCCGTCACCCATCACCAGGCTGGTCAAGGTCTCAGGTAAGATCACCTGCACGTAGTCTGACGTCGGACCGCTGGACGGTGTGGTTGAAACAGTGTCCCTCCCAGGGCTCAGCTGTCTCAGGACTCAGCGAAGGGGTGTTTTTCAGTGTCTCATGCTGTCCCATCCCCAAAGTGAGCTTGGAGAGTTGCCTCTCCAGGCCCTGATTCACTGAAGGACCAAAGGGCCCTTGAAACCTCGTTGAAATCGGTGGATCATGGAGGGTGAAGATGTCGTAACTTGGGCCCATCTTCCTGGTCATTACTGTAGCTGAAATGAAATCACAAGATCCAAATACTGTTCAGAAACACATACTAGTAGTAGGTGGTCATCAACCCAAAATAACCGCTATTGCATAATAATAAGTACCTCCACAACAACTACAATATCTGGTAATATCTGGCTGGGCTTTTCACTGCTTAGCTTGAGTAGGTGATGCATTGATCTGCTGGTGCTTTTCACTCCTCTGCCAGGCCGACGTGGCAGCCTGGTCGAGACTGTGATTGAAGGCCCAGCCAAAGCTCAGGGATTCCAGCCGTGAGGGCAACGCCACCTGAGAGCGGCAGGGAGGCAGTGCTTTCACACAGCCCGCATGATGTTCTCCATGATGTTCTTGCACATGAGCTTGACTATTTTATTGATTAAGATTGAAACGCATTAGTTGATTAGGTTGGTGGGTTGCACGACGCAACTGCTCGGCCAAGTGGCATCCACTGAGACTGGAGCAAAGCTTATGAATGGAATAGAAGTTAACTTACGTTGACCCCTGAAACAGCCTCTTGCTGCAAATATACATTGCTTGCTGTGCGTCGGAATTTAGAGGTTCATAATCTTTGTGTCAAGGGTTCCTTCCGGCTGCTCTGGTTCAACCTGGCTGCCATGTCTAGTGCACTTGACAAAATAGCCGCCAAAGGTCAAATCTCTGACCTCTATCAAACCACTACCATCCAAGTAAGTATAGATCAACTAGCACCCAACCCCTCGAAAGGTCACTTGGTCCCACCAGTTCCCACAGCACACTACGTATACCTATTGGAGGTGTGTGGAAGTGTCCGTTTTCACCGGGATTTTCATGCACACACATACACCCTGGGCTGTCTTTTCCTGGGGAATATGGACACTGGGCCATGGACCATGGAGTTTAGACGTGGTTCGTTCCCACCATGGTAAATGAAACAAAATCAACATGACTGGAATAAGCGGTCCTCCGAGTCTATATTCTTGAACCAAATAGGGTAAGGAGGAGAGCCACTTTGTCATGGAACTGAGATCTACCTCGTCAAACTAAGGGTCCTTCAAGTGTCCTGGATTCTGGCAGTCGACCAAGAAAAGGCCAGCCCGTCACGAACACCAAACGATAAAAAACGGAACTTCCCACATCTTCACACACTCTTGGGTGTTTTGGAAAAAAAACACATCCACATCTTCACCATCTGACTTCTGCGTCAGAATGTTGGATTCTGATCTGGGGGACCTGCCAGCTCTGCTTCAGTCTATGCGGAAGATCGCTCACATCGTTCACGCAGTCCCAGTTCAAAAAATGAATCTGTACATACCTTCCACACCCACCTCGACCCACGTCAACCCATCGATCATTCTTGCTGAGGAGCTTGGTCCAATGATTGGTTGAACATCATCCCAAAGGAGATACTCTTCAAAGTATCCGGAAACTTTGCCTCCAAGCAAGGACACACTGGTGCATACATGGGTTCTTTGAATATTATAGGACTCCTTTCAAAGGGACTGCTTCTGGTCGATGACAGGTAGCTATCTCTTCCCTCCTAGGACCCACGAAGACCCTTGAGTCTCGTCGATTCCTAGCGCTCAGGGTGGTGAAAGGTCAACCCTTTAAGGTCTTGATATGTCTCGATGTATCAAAAAACCAACCGAGAACCAAACTTCCCCCACCCACACCTCAAAGTTAGTGAAACTTCATATACATATATATATATAGGTTGTCTCGGAATATCCCCGCTTAGCTGACCTTCAATGAGCACAAACATTATACGGCGTGGACCAAACATCTGTTGCCTAGCAAAACCAGGTGAGCAAACAATATTCCCGGATTCCACGTACTAGTACTATAGTGCCAAAGGTGCCAAAAGCACGAAAGAACTCTCACTTACCGCCGCAAGTTTGGCGTCCCGAATCGTCCCGACACATATTCTAGAACCAAAACGCACCAGAAAAAGGCGCAGAACGCCTTGAACGCCTTCGCGTTGTTCCGGGCCTTCGAGATGGGTTGGTTGAAGTGCGTCCCAAAGCTCAACGTCTGAAGACGCCGTGGCCAAAGCACGCCTCTCTTCGATCCACGCTGCATGCGACATGACTCGGAGATCGGCTGTTGAAAGACTTTCGGCACTCGTTATGTGTTTTTTTGCAAGCGGGGTGGCAAATAGGATGTCGTGGCCGTGGCTATCTCTATAGCTGTAAGGCACAAGGACTTTCCACACTCCTCCACGTGTGAGTGGCTCGAGAATAGCAGGCCCCCAGTCTGAACTAAGCTTTTCAAAGCACATTGCACATAGGAATGAATACTTAAGGGATTCCAGCTGGCAACAGAAAGCAAACAAAACAAGGCAAAACAACTGACAACCAGGCCAGCCAAACAACCCAAAAGCCAACCAAACCACCCGAACCCTCCCATGTTCCTACCAAGCAAGACACGGTCCAGGCTCTGGTCAAAGACCCGCCCCAGGTGAAGGTCTTCGATCGAATCGGGGAACTCCACGTCCTCGGGCAGCTCAGAAGCTAGATTATATGATTCTATCGTGGCTTCGTCTTTGTGAACTTGTTTGTGATAGAAGGCTCAGGTACAAAGCTCCAAGGGATTCTCAACCATGAATCAGATTCCAAAGAAGTTGCAGTCACAAAAGCACCAAGAACATACACTCCCAAGTGATATATGATATATATATATATACATATATAATATCTATTCGCTGATGAAACGTGATTGAACATTTCGCCCATTGCCATTGCCGAACTCCAAGGATCGTCAATACTTTCGTCGAACTCCCAATCGAAGCTGAACTGCCTCGAGTCGAGGTCTCGACATGTCTCGACGAGTCGACGCAAGGGTTTTACAGAAACAGCCTGTTGCAATCGATACCAGTCTATAGTCCTCCATTTCCTCTCTGGCTCTTTCTGGCTCTTTCTGGCTCTTCTGTCTTCCCCTCAATCTCAATATCCCTCTCTCTCTGTATGTTTCCTTACAGGTATCTCACCGTGGCTGATGTCATATTTGTTCCACCCACTCCGACCAGCAGGACAACGGTTTTGTTTGTTTTTATGTTTTATTGCAATCCGGATGTACTGCAAACATGGTAGGTTTTTCTACAGTCAGGATGCCGACTATTCAGCAATTAGGAATGCAATCGGTAATGTCCTGGTGACTCAACAGGATGTTCTCTCTCAACAAAAAAGACACTGTTCATTGTGGAGAATGATAATTCACTTACTCCATTTGGCCGGGACGAATGATCATCCAAGTGTTTGCAGAAAGAAGAAACATGTAAACCAAACCGTAAACATCATGTTCATTATGAAGCTTCTTGAGCAAGCTTAGTAGGCACTCAACATAGAAAAAAAGTCAGCTGACTAGCTGACAAAGCTGAAGTCACTGTCAGTCATTATCCAACCTCTTATGTGAGTCGAGCAATGGTCGAAACTTCTTGCAGCATTGCTTTTTAGATTGTGGCCTATGAATTTGAGCTGGCCTCAAGCTGGGCGGCAGCTTGGCATCCCTCAAGTTCACAGTGCTGCCCACAGTCAAACTCTCCAAGCTGTTTGGCAACTCGAAGTCGGCCAACCGGTAGGTAAAGCTCTCCGCAAGCACCAGCCTGCACGAGCCGACATCGTGCTCCCATCGAGTCTAGGAACCCTGGTAGGTTTCATCCCCAGTTCGAGATTCAATCCAGCTGGCTCTAGTGAGATTGACAACTACTGTAATTACAGTATATAGTTGCTACACGCTCCCGTTTTCTCAGCGTTGAAAGCATCATTTCGGCCACTGAATATACCTTACAAAAGCAGGACGTCTTGGGATGCGACTGCCGTTGCTGAGATCTGACAAAACCTGTGGACAAGACCGTAAATCCGATCGTCGTCCACCGGGACCATGAGCATACCTGGATCTTCCAACTATGCTATATATATATATATATACATTGCCTTTTGGCCGATTTTTCCAACGTCTAAGCTGCCATCTACCCTTAGTTCCGACGAAAAAGCGAGCCAGGAACACAATCCAAATGCGTGGTAATATACATATAGACAGAGACCCCTCCTAAAGTTCACCATCTAAAAGTCCAGGCAAAAGCTTTGCATTCATGTCCAAGTCCAAACACCTTTCATACCTTTCGCACTTTGGCACACCTTCCATACTCTGTTTCGTTGGCCGCTCGCGGTGATCGAAGGCCTTTTGAGGTTGGTGAGTTGGCTCACCTGGAGTAGGTGCTTTTTTTTGAGCGGGAAGCATCAGGAAGCCACGTTTTTGGATTGTGACACATAGAGGATATCAGCTTCTAAGATCTTCTGAGTTCATCTCGATGGCTCTGTTCTGTGGTTCTTCGTCCAAACATTAAGTCAGATGCAAGCCTACCCTGCCCTGATTCCAAAGAAGGAAAGCTATGGAAGTGAATAAGATTGAATGAGTGTTTCCTTCATCTCCCTGTGGCCAATCTCAGTAGTAGAGGCTCCAGGAAATGCAAACACATTCTCAGCTTATCGAAGAGAACGTCTTGGCATGTTTTGGCACTCGTTGGCACTACTACCTGGACCTGCAAGGGATGTCCAATGGAGATTGCTAAGTAGTGTAGGGGCTTCCATTGGTGACCCCTACACTCAGCTGGATATATATATATATTAAACTGTTCATATTATTGTATAAACATATACATATATATATATATATTATAATATTATATATATAACAATAAACCAACAATAAAGCATGCAAGCAAGGATGAGTGCTGTTATCGTCCGCTCTGTTTTGCTCTCCCAGCGGCACGGGAGGGCAACACGACGGGACCGCGGCATTCCAACTTTGGGATTGGTTTTGCTTTTGGAAGCCGTTGAAAGTGTGTAAGTTAAAGGCTTGTCGACTCGACCCCTACAGTCTTTTCTGTCTCCTCAAAGCTGTTAAAAGGCCAAAGACAACTCAAGACAGGTTGGGAAGATGTTCTAAGTCTGAAAGACCTTGGACCAGCTTCTGACCCCACTCTGATCCGTCTCCGACTGTGTAAGCTCCACGGAATTTCACCCCACCTGGCTAAGGCTTTGGTTGAACTTGCTGGCGAAGGTCAGTGTCTCCAAGCTCCGAGGCAACGTCCTGAGGAATGTGCTCCGAGCAACGTCCGGCAGCGGCGCAATCAAAGCAACTGGTTTTGGTAGTCAATGCCGGTAGAAGCCTATAGCTGATGTCACAAAATTGTGAATTCTGGAGAAGGGAAAGTCATAGGAAGTCCGCCATTTATGGCTCCATGGTCTACAAGTAAAAAAATACGTTTCAATGACTCCCCAGGTTCCTTCCCCCCGTTGTTCCAAGGCTCATGTCATCCAAGGGATGGTTCCAAATACTCCGAAAGCGGAACTCCAACTCCTTCCTGCCGCCACGGAGCCACGGGTGGTTGGAGCTACTAGCAGCTACACCGGCAGAGCCGAGCAAAGTCCTTCAGCCGGCTTTTTCGATCACCTGTCGATCTATGTAACCTGAAAACCCCCCAAAAAAAAGTACTTGCTTCTCACGAAGCAGTCGCTGACGCAACGGTGTCGCTTCAGTCTTTCTTGCGGTCGCTCTTTGAGGTCTTCATGTGAACAGTCGTGCAGCATGCGAATCGAAATGACTGTCAGACCCAAAGGGTGGTTGTTGGTCGCTTTCAGGCCATGCCAAACCAGTTGAAGCAACCAGGGAGCCTCCTAGCTGTATTCATGTGCTGGAGCTTTCAAGTACTAGAAATGGAGGATTTTTGGGACATCTATACTGCAAAATCTGAACACAATACGCTTGGACTTGTAAGTCGTCCATTCCGCTTGCTTTCCGAAATGACTTCCAGACAGGCGACAGATTCACCGGCAGCGCATCACCAAAGCCTTGGTCACCCAAGGCAGTTCCGACGCAAAAAATACACATTGGTACACTCCCTGGAACTAACATGGAAGTGGAAAACCCTTTGTTTGTAGAGGAAAATGGTCTTCGAAGGGACCATTTTCCACTTCCATGTTAGTTCCAAAGAGTGTATGTTATAACCCAACAAATGTGGAGTGAATGTAATGTATATTGTTCTCGGACGGAGTGGAAGGTTTCTTCGGACGCCTCCATCGACGTATATAGGTGTCTGACTTGATCGAAGCCCGGTTGCCTTGTTCGATCAATAGACTAGGTGGATTTGCCGGATTTGGTGTCACCTAGCTGCAGCTCTTTCCAACGAAATGATTCAGTTTGGTCAAGACTCGCTCGTGGCTTGCCGAACCTGTCGTTGGTGGATTGCCCTGAAGGGCTTTTGGCGAGTTATACATATAATCCAACATCAAGCATCACTGCTGACCATTGTAAGCCCCTGCCTAGGACGTTGTGTGATCATAATACTTGGCCGAGCCACAACATAGAACTCACCTTCGCAACTATGACAATTCACAAACATATGACTATCATATGACCATGTCTCCCAAATCAGGTCCCATCTAAACCATCGTTCTACCGCATAACCTCCACGTGAACAGAACAAACAATCCATGAGTACAAACATGTACAAATTCTTCATATAGCTGAGCCTTAAGCACAAGAAGTAAACCACGTAACATACCGGTTAAGGAGCATTGGTCAAAGGCATCGCTCACCGCCAACAACTGGAGGTTCTCTGGCAACTTGGCCACGGTCAAACCTCGAAGAAACCACGAACGGGTTTGCCAACGCTACCGGCTCTCAGGGAGGCTCTATATCCAAGTGATAAACATCCAACGGAGGTAAACAAAAAAACAGGTGGCCAGGAAAGTCCAAGAGCAATAGGTCGTAAATTGTATATCTACTTGGGGAGCTCTACAATTAGATAGATAGATAGGATAGGATAGGATAGGATAGGATAGGATAGGATAGATAGATAGATAGACAGATAGATAGATAGACATAGCATACGGTTGCAAAACACGTGTCTGACTTCAAAATGTTCAATCAATCAAGCAATGTGGCAATGCCTTGTGGAAAGTGCCTACGAGTATCACAAAGAAAATGCAAAGTGAGCAAAGTGGCAAGTACAGTACTTGTTCAACACCCTTTTACTTAGGGAACCGCTATTTCAGGAAAATATACGTTAGACATGAGCAGGTTGTCAAAGCATCTGAGATCAAGGTCAAACCATCTCGGTGAGTCTGTCAAGGCTCTACAGGATCCAAGGATGAGTTTTGGACGTGAGATCCAAAAAGAAACAACTCCATTGGTGGATTCTAAGAATAGAAACCCAAACAGGGTTGGACAAATGAGAACTGTTGTGACAAAGTTCTCTACTGCAAAACTGAGGGTACAAAGTATGAACCTTTTCTGTACTAAGCTTGGCACCAGCACATTCCTGTCAACGCAATAGGAACAACTACCGGCTAGGCCCTAGGCACATCTTGGCCCTTACACCCCTCCAGAGCAATCTTGCGACTAGAGCGACAAGAACATGAAATGACATGAGACCTGCCTCTCTTAGAACTATACATTTTCTTCACCCTCGAGCATTTGGTGGTCCTGCATGCTTGGTGGGCCTCCGCAGTCCCGCTCACCAACTCTGACAGCACCCAGGAACTCTGGTTGAAGTCGGAGCCGAAAATCAGTTTCTCCAGGCTCTCGGGAAAGTTCACCCTCTCTAGGCCTTTGACCCACGCTGAGCTGGAAAACGGAAGAAATGATACATCTCTGTTTGCTTTGAGACGATGCAACATTGTTCCGACGAATAGTGAATGTCCGGTGCCAATCAGGCAGTGGAGTGTTGAAGTTCCAAGCGCTGTTCTGTGGCCAACAGCGCTTGGACAGCCGTGAGGTCTAATGTTGTGAATCATTTCCGTGAGGTTTAATTTTGCTCTTGGAAACAAGGCCTGTGTATCCATTAGCTGCAACTCACAAGCAATTCCAAATCAAAATATGTCCCACAGGTTCCTCAACACCTGCGCCAGCGTGACCACCGGTTTGTGATTTACCCAAACAATTAACACTTCCTCTTGATTTCGCTGCCTGCAGGGACAAATTCCGCTGCCCTCTTCCAAGCATCCACACAATGGTCATGAGGAACTTGGTGGCCAACACGTACTTTGCTCTGCTGGCTGGTCAATATATGCGGGAAGATCGCAACATCTGGTTCAATATGAAGGATTGCTAGCCCCTATTGAACATGTAGTAGACCGAATGTAGACCAGACCCATCCAAAGCAGGACCCTGGACCAGGTGTCGATTTGAGTCTGCCAAAGGGCTTCGGTTCCACGCGTTGCCAAACTTCAACGTCTTCAGCTTGCTAGGAAATGTGACCTCGAGACATGGACAAAAAACAGCCTTACTTCCACAGCGATGCCATTTTGCTCCGTTCGTAGCGTCCTCTTGTTCCTAGTAGTATGGCCAGGAGCTACGTTCGTAGCGTCCTTGCTCCTAGTAGCGATGCCCTTTGTTGCTAGACCTTACTATTGGCAATGGTTCAATCATCCCTTCCATTGAAACCGTCCTAAATGGTATCGAACAAATGCTGTAGTCATTGCCACTAGCACCATATAGCAAATCCGGTTTCAATTCACATGTTGCTGAACTTTCATTGTTTCCTTCAGATTCATCTCTGATCAATCTCAACACGACATCCTGACATCCCGAACCTCACTCTTGCAAACCTACCGCTCTCGGGTCTCGATCTGTCAGTCTCAATCGGTCTCCTTGTCCACGGGCAAGTTGAACTGATCGCCGATCTGAAACGTCTCGAGATTCGGAGGAAACACCACCTGATCCAAGTCCTGGACACCACGGAGTGTTCGGAGAGCTGGACGCGACGCAAGGTGTTCGGGATGGCAGTTTGACTGTTGCATTCTTGGGAGTCCGACTGGTAGATGTTGCCCAATTCTTTTGCAACATGCAGTTCCCTCAGACTTTGTGGAGCTTGGGGTGTGCGAGAGTTCACATACCTGAAAGGTCGTCTTGCCACCAAACCAAAGCCGTTTCAACCGTATGGCAAAACCACTCGCAGCTGCAAACATGAGAAGGAACACACTACTGGTCCCTGGTGTTGTGTGGTTCCTGCCTGCTGAACGCCCACGTTCACAGGGAACTTGATAGCTGGATGTGGTGAGGCTCTCAAAGACTTTCAATCAGAACACTGGCACCGATTTGCAATTTAACCGGTGGCACTGCAGGTAACTCAGTGTTTTTTCCCAGTTGGTTTTCAGAACACAATTTTGGGTACTAGTCACTAGTCTTACTAGTCTAGGGATATTGACTCTACCTTCTATTCTGTCATGCAATCTTTGCTTGACATTGACCCCTTTGTGGCAACATGGTTTCAAAAAAATACACCCTGTTCTGAACCAACTGCATTGTTCTGCACATCCGCCCCCCTGTCTTCTTTCTGACAGCACTGTGCTGAACCAAATAACTAAGTCGACCAACATGTTACTGAAAACAAAGCAAACAGGAAAGCCTTTCATATCCCTTATCAGTTTCTGTCAGGCGCATTCCTATTCCTGTCATGTCCTTTCAAATCCCTACCGTCTCCTGTCCTTTCCTTTAAACTCCTCCAATATTCCGCTCACATCCGCTTAAAGAAAACAAAGGTTCGTCTCCAGCCCCCTCTGAACCATTGAGTTTCCTTCTTGAAGTCTTGAGTCAAAACTGTTCATGTTCCATTGGTTTACTTTGGAAGCCTGACATTCCTCCTGTATAGTTTCGTCCATTCTTTGCAATTTGCCTTTGGGTCCACCATGGTCAATGAACATTGACCATAACATGACAGGATCGGCGGTACAGTAGGTGACTCAAAAGGTTGCAACACATAAGAACCTAGACAGTAAGACCGCAAAATAACTATAGACACCTCAAATGCAAAACACATCAGGAAATCGCCCAACATTGTCCTAAAATATGTCGACAGTTTACATATTATCTTCATCAAATCTTCCCGTGATAGGTAGACAAGAAAACAATTTCAATGACAGTTTTAAATATCTCCAAGACATGAAAGGACTATGCAAGGACTTCTAAGTAAATGAGACGAACACGACAAGAAAATGTTTGGAAGGAACACGCAAAATACAATAAAGAACATGCTATTAAAAAGAAACACATGCAACTGACGACTAGAAAAACATGACATAAGGACTCAAAGGTTCAGGTTTCTGGCTGCTTGTTTCCCTTTGCCTCCTTTTGTGTGCCTCCCAAGGTGAAAATTGAGCATATTTTTTAGATGCATTGACTGACTGTTTGGTGCCTAGGGCAGTGTTTTAGCTGGTTTTAGCTATGATACGATCTGAACATACTTTCATCAACTGACCCTGCCAACACACTGAAACAACAACATGGTTTTCTCTACAAGCCAAAGCTTTGGACTCCATCTGTCAAGGCCTTAGTGTGAGAAGGTGTTTTGCCATGCCCTGACCATCTATCCTCCCAAAACCTTTGGCGCACGGCCTGTCCTGTTTGAACCTCTTCCCCAGGACCAGGGTCTTCAAGCCTCACTATCTCGAAAACAATGCCGCTTTCCAGACGGCGTACGCTCGGGATTTCATCGTACAGTACCCCGAGTGGGATATAATGCTCCTATTGTGAGCTTGTGACTTGCGTGGACAAGTAATGACATGTAGTAATTTCAAGGGCCTTTCGTACCAGCAGCCAGCAGCTAGGTGTCCACTTTTTGACATCTGTTGCTTGAAGTGTGGGCTGTTACGAAATGCCTATGGGGACTTGTAGAGCCAAAATGAGGACCTATGGAGTAAACTAGTGTTCTCCCTTGTTCTCCCACTTTCTCATCGTGGCTGCGTTTCTCATCATTGTTTTCACAAAGATCTTCCTCAATATGTTCACGGCGCCTCGCCTTGTGGAAGGCGGGCTTTCTCCAAGCGATGATTGAAGTGGTCGCTGAAGCTCAAGGACTTCCTGGGATCATTGGCCGCTCTGGAAACTGCGATCAACAAAAGGTGTGTGTGAAAGGGAACAAAAAGATGCTTAAAGGCCACGGATAGGTATACTGTCCGTAAGGCTCAAATACTCCAAGAGCCCCAGTCCTAGACTCTGTCACATTGAGCAAAGGAGCTTTTCTCGCTTTTCTGGCTACCGCATTCTGATGGCTGAGATCCTATAGACCTCCTACATGGGACCTACTGTGGGGATTGTCTCTTGCACACTTCGCAGCAAAATTGGATCTCTGTAGCTCGAGAGTCCATCCCGCTGAGCCCATTCAAGAGGAGTACACCGTCTCCACACACTGATCTTGACGCTTCGCAACAGAAGCGAAGGACGGACCCATGGACCGTCCGCACGGCCCATGCCGCTGGAGGACATGACACCTCACCAAGTGCTAGGCATTTTAGGCGGACCTCACCACGCATGAGTAGAACACCTCAACGCACACAAGAAGTTCTGGAGCGAAGAAGCTTCCTGCAAAGTAGTTGCGCGTGGAAAAGCCACAAGTAGAAATCAAACAACTATGGAACCATAGGCTATAGGATGCTATAAGTCTTGTTCTATTTTCCGTTCTCCAGAGTTCATGCGCACCCTAAAACTGTATCGTCACGTCATGTCTTATTGTTTGAAGCTTTGACTGGGGCGTCGAGCTGGGAGTCCATGATTTTAGATATCACAAATGCCAAGCCCACCGCCGCCGGACGCACCTGGCGTTCTCAGTGCCTTCCGAGCTTCAAAGTCGCAGGGAAGATCACCTGGAGACGACCAAGGGATGAGCTGAAGCAGCCGGTTGTGCAGGTGCGGGAGAACAAGATTCCTTGAGAAACATCGTTTTCACATGCATGAACGCTTAGAAGTCTTTAGATAGATAGAAGTGAGTGGTGCCACTTTCGGCAAAGTGGCCTCCTGATCACAAAAAAAAATGATTGTACATGATTGTACCCATAATAATGAATGAATGCTTACGATGCCCAGTGACCACTGGGCCTGCAACCTCGGACAACTCTAATGAGCTGCACCTTGGAGCTCCATCAAATGTGAACTTATCTCCAATGCTTATTTGGACCCGGCTCATTTTTCTATTCTGGTTGTTGATACGCTTTAATATGTTTTAACAAATGTCACCTTCATTCACCTTTTATGGTGGAACCCAATCAAATCATTCACCTCGATCCACAATGGGTTTACACATTTTCCTGGGTTTCCTGCCATGCTATCCAGCCCGATCCCGATCCCCCACCGCTTCGTCGCCTCTTTCAGCTCCTGGTCAAACAAAAGGCCGAAGTTCAGCACCTGCATCGATCGACGGAGATCACATCGACACGGCGGTTTGACGTCGGAACATGGGGTGCGCCTCAAGGACTCAAGGCCTCCCCAAGTCCATTTACTTCTAGCAGCTCCACAGAAATGGCTCGGTTTATAGAGCGCTCAGCTCAAAAGGTCGTCGATCAGCCTCTAGGTCTTCCCACCTGCAGGTCGGGCCAGTTCATGAACTCTAAGGGCTGATTGAAGGCGGCACCATAGGTCAAAGTGCGCAAGCTTCGTGGCACGTCCACTTCTTCCAGGCCTAACAAGCAAAGCTATATAGGATGAATTCCTGCACGAGTGTCCATGACATGATGGTGTTTGATGGGTCGTTACGCCCAGGTGACTGAATTCGGCCCGGTGGCTCTACCTTTCGCCTTCAAGACTAGTGGTTAGCGTCAGCCACTAAAGACCGAGTACACAGCTGCCTTCATGTCACCGAGGTCACCGAGGTATATCGCTTCGTTCATGATGGTCTGGTATATCGACGAAAGCACCCAGCTTCCCACCGTTGGTGAATCAGCAAGTGAATCCTAGCTTCCTACCCTTTCGTCTATGCCGAAGCAGCAAGCTACAGCTGCCTTTTGGACAAGCCACGCACGTTGCACGCGGAGTGAAAACCTAACTCTTCCAAGCCGTCGGGCAGATCCGTCATCCTCGGACAGCGTGCTCGATCGCAACTCCGCACTTCCGCCGGTGTCTTTCCGGTGTCTTTCCGCCGGTGTGTGGTTTTCGGTCCACCGCCGGCACAGAGACCTCTTCCATAGCATGGCGGGGGGGTGCGGCTGTGGGCCATGTGATGTTTTGCTGTCGAGTGGTTCTTGGGATGCACTGTTCTTCTCGTTGAGCCCTCGAATGGGGTTGTTCTCGTATACTCCCACAATCAACTCATCAACCTCATAAAGTTAAAAGACCTTTGATGTCCTTTCAGGGACCCTCTTGCATCTCATTGTCCTGCCCAAAGCAATGAATCATCAAACACCAAGTCTCATCCAAAAGCATGAATGATCCCTGACGTGTCATCACCTCTGTGAGTTGGACCAACGACAATCGAATCCTTTCGAAGACCAAGCGTCTGATCTTTGTAGCGGATCCCATCAATGACTTTAATGCCCTGCATCGCCACTTCTCCCTGCGCCGTCGCACTAACACGCCGAGGGGCGCAGTAAACCTACACATCAACAAACAACACCCAGGAAATCACAAAAATCTAAAGCAAAACACAAATATATATATATATAATTATATATATTTTTGATAAACTTCAATCTATAGTGTGTAACATCGTGTAACATTCAATCTGACTGATTTGTTTATGTTTGTTTCACAAAAAGGCCTGGGTACCGAGCACTTTGTGAACACTTTGACTCTGACCTTCCATGATTGTGCATATATAGAAGCAGCTACTACGAGTCGCAGGGCCCGGAGGGCTATGGAATTTTGATGGACATTGTTTGTTCTATATGGGTGTATTCTTGCTGCGTTATTATTGTGGTGCAATAAACAATGTGTGCCTACTAAAGCGTTCCGTCAGGCAACAAATGCACCAGCTCTCTTAGTAGTGCTGTCTAGGCCAATGGCCTCTGCCCAACGCTTTCTCCGGCCAAGCCATGTGTAGCATGTTCAGTGAGTTTCATCATGTTCTTTCTCGGTCCCATCAAAAGCATGCCAGTGACTTGACTTGACCATCATGACCATGCCGTGCAAGGAACCTTTGCCGTACGCCACTGATTCTTATCAGTTTTGGTGCAGCTTCGGCGCGCCACCAAGTACTTGATCAAACAAACTCTGTTTGTAGAGAAAAACTATTCCAAGGTCATTTTTTGCACTTGAATGTTTCATATTGGTTCATCACTCGCATAGCAAAAGCCCTTAAGTCCAAACTCCCCTTCCCGAAGAAGACCCATCCGCCATCCGCATAGTATCTCCAATTGCTGGCTGGGCTGGTTCCTAGCAAGGTTCATTTGGCATTGTGGATACTTGGAGAGTTCTTTGGATGCTTCTTCGAGATTCAGCATGGTCCGCGGCCGAAAAGTCAGCCTCGTTCACTGGGAGCTTCTTGAGGAATTTCCAGGCGTGGTGCACGTTCGCAGGCATGTAGATGTAGTTCAAGGTTTCAACCTGAAATTCAGTGACTTTGGATCAGATTGGAACATGGAACTTTTGTTGTCGGTGTTTGATTGCTTAGAGCTCCCTACTCTGCAGGGAAAAAGACATGTCTTGACATCAATGCATAAATCATAATAAATCCCTGAGAGTAGCTGAAAACAAAATGAACAAAGAGGAGTGGCAAACCGCCTGGAAACATGGTCCCTCTTCCCAAGGGTTTGACCATTTAATTCTACCAGTCTATACCCGTCTCCAAGTTGGTTAGGGCCTCGAACCTGGAAAAAAAAGAACGAACCCGGGAAGGGCAAGGCATCAGCAAGGGGCCCAAGAAGTGGAAGAACAACATCCAACACGGGAAAGCCCCGTGTTCAGCGTCACGTACAAACAATTGAGGAAGGCAAGTAGTGGACGTCAAGAGATAAAACCAATTTGACCATATGGGTTTCCCATGTCAAAACCATTCAAAGCAACTAGCTAGGCTAACCGCCCACCAGGTGTTCAACACGTCCCGGCACCCAGGACGTGGATGCACACTTCCGCCCCATGTGCCGGGCCACTGGTCCTGCCAGACCTGCCTCCTTCAATGTCCGCTTCAACGAGAGCATGGAGGCCTGACGGCCAGCTTCACACTTTGGGTGGGCTGTAGAGGAAAATCGTCTTCCAGTCAGGTCCACCCGGGTGTCTCGGAACCATGTGGGTCTCGGAACCCGGGTGTCTCTCTCCGGTCCGACCGGTCCGCTTCAAGCGTGGTGACCTTTCGACTCACCGACGTTCCAGATCAGCCCATCCCCGAGAAGAGCATCATCCACCCCGAGCATGTCCGATCTTGCTTCGCCAAAGAGTGCGATCTACCGAGCGCCTGGTGTTGCAATGAGATGAAGGCTCCAGTCTTCTCCGGCAGCTGCGCCGCTACGGTGCATCTGAGCTCCCGCACCTCGGAGCCGCGGAGCCGCTGGTGTGGAGAGGACAAGTCGAGTGACCAAACGGACTAAGTCATGGAGCTGTGCACTGATGCTTGATTGAATTTGCTGTCCTCTACGACTTGCAAAACGATACGTGGTTATTTAGATCAATTTGGAGTCAATGCAAATATTTGCCCTGCACCGTATGGATCCGGATGTTCTGTATATATGTTCCATATTGTTGCAAACAATGCAAGGCATTGTGGAATCTGTGAGGCTATCCACGAAGACATGTCCCAGTCGTTCTCCCAGGCTATCATTTTCTACAAAGAGTTACCGCCACCGTCTCATTTGAAAGTGTTCTCCAAGACGGTCAGCCCAAATTTCGCCCCAAACATGCGCCCGTGCTCAACCCATCCACCCCCATGTTCGCCAGGTCGCTGTCATTGAGTCCGGTACTTTCAGCACAATCTCTTCACCATCCAAGCCATTCACCTCACCCCCGTCGTACCGAGCGAGCAAGCTGAGGTTTCCGCAAACCAATGTGAGGGTGGGTTGCAGCATCGAGGGAATACATGGGAACATTGAGTGCCATGATGCACAGCGAAAGCTTGTGAGATGCATAGAGACATTGTATAGACATTGTGTCCAAGTAGAACCATTTCGCATGGGCCAAATTGACGTCGGTGTTTCTTTTTTGTACCCACCTCCACGCCTCATACCACCGAGACTTAAGCAAGGCACATGGATCTCCAGGATCTTCTCCTCCGGTATATCCATCATTGGCCAATCAGGGCAGGACACCGGACAAGAACGACCAAGAATCCAGCTAGGTGCTCTCGATGACCAAGGTAGTTATATAGTTTGAACATGTTTGAACTTATTGTTTTACAAACGGCCTTGTTTGTCTGTCCTGTTCAAGTGACCCAAGTTTGAATCAAAGAGTTGTTCTTCCTTCTCCAGGCTACGCGCTTTTGGGACTTCATATGTTGCGATAGGCCAAGCCATCCACTCTGTCAATCGGTCGCTTGAACCTTGCTTCACTAGCTCTGATGTTTGGAGCCCACAACGGCGGAGCGGCGACATCCTCTTTCCAAACATGAGGGGGTTATGAGGACATGGGACAGGACTGGCGAGTCATCGTGTTTCTCTGTTTATAGGTTTGGTGAGTGTCCCCCTGTGCAAACACCGAAAAGGTTGACTGTCCATGACATGGCTTTTTTCTGTGTGATGCGTAGGTCCCCTTGAGTCTAGTGGCCAAACACTTGGTGTGAATCGCCATAGTCATAGCATAGTCATCCTGCAAAGGAATGCGAACATGCTTGAATGGACGACCAAACAAACAAACATGAACTGCTTGAAGTTACTTCCATGGACTTTACAAGCTCGGCGGGTCATTACACTGATTTGTTGAACCTTCCAAGGGGAACTGCACATCTTCATTACAGGGTCGAAACCTTTGTCATGTATGTGGGAGTCTCATTCAGTATTGTTTCCCATCCAAAGGTCGGCACTATGGCATGTAGAAAGTTAAAGGCACGAATCTGACTACATATCGTATGCTCCTTGACACACATCAATCACAGTAACCACAAATCTCTGAACATTTCAGCGGCCATGGATTAAACACGACATTATTCATTGACATGAACACCCCCCCCCATTCGTTGCCACTTTGTGATCATCAAAGTTGAACAAAAAGCCAACATTGATGAACATTCACATCGCAGTGGACTGACGAAGACACATTGTTGGGCAATCCGCTTGATTGGTCCTTTGAACTTCTCAATTCCATGTCTAAATAAGCTCTTAACAAATTCACAGGGAATTATTAAGTTGATTTAAGTTGTTACTAGTGTTTAACAAGTTTTGTAATCAGTTGGTCATTGAGTGTATTTCCAAGTTGTTAACAATTCAACCATCTGCTTGTGCATACCAGGATCTCCGGTCGTATCTGGTCGTCAAACCCCTCCCCAGTTCGAGCCCGCCTACGTTTGTACTCTTCGAGTTCAGCCTGGCTGGACCTGGCGAGTTCCAGTGGATTCTTGGCGCCCAGTGAGCAGCTTCGACATCTCTGGGGATTGGCATCAATCATGTGAGAGGATCTGGGGTGGAGGTGGCAATCAAGAGGAGGTTGCTAAAGTGTGAGGGAAAAGAGCAGCAATTCAAGCCATCAACTTGACGTCATTCGGAAAACATCCTGCAACAAAAATTGGCGGAGAGGTCAACTCGAGAGATCAACTTGAGACAGACCGGGGGATGATCTCCCCAAGCTGGCTTCTCCAGAAATCCCTTTGTGTGATGATTCCTGAAGCACAGGGGAGTAATGAGTTTGGTTAAGGAATAATGCTCACCGAGGACAGGGCTGGACAACAGAACGATAGGTTCTTGGGGAACAAACCGAAAACAATGCGTACCACGGCAGCTTGGCCTCTATGCATTAAAGGAATGAAGTCAAGCCCCCAAGATACCACACAAAACACTACGCGGAACGTCCCTTTGGGACCAGCACATCAGTCCAAACCACTTGCAACAACCCACTTTGGGACCAGGCGTGCCCGTCTCAAGGAGCGAAACAACGACGCTGGAAGCGACGCTGGATCCGAAGGCCTGGCCTGAAGAGTTCGATGTAACGCCCTTGGATCTCTTGGCGTTGCTTCTGCTCCTCGGCCAGGCTCTCAGCGACTTTGGTCTGTGTCCGCCTCCACACCTATCACCTCCTGAGGCGCCTGCAATGGCCGCTTCGGCCAACTGAGGAGACTGGAACATCACAAAAGCCTGGCAAAGCGAAGATGAGTGCGCCAACGAGACAAAGGATGAGGGGGGCTCCCAAACCTTGTGACCTCATGTTCTTTTGTCATGTTATGCGGTGAGAAACAAGCACCAAAGCCCCCTCTGTGGTGAGAAAGCCCCCCTTGGTTCGACGGAGCATAGGTGAAAAAGGACACAACACACCGAGACACTCCCAAAGACACTCCCAAAGACAATCCATTAGGTCTCGACATCGACATCGAAACTCGGTCCCGGTCTGCGCCAGCGCAGACGCCTCTCCGGTCGATCGGCCGTCTGGCTTCTTGATGAAGGTAATGTCCGGCCTGGGCGTCCGGTGGGCCCCTTGGCCTTGCCTGCGTCCTGGGTATGAGATGGTCTGAGGGCGTCAAAGTCCATCTCGTATTCACCCTGCCAATTTGGAGGGTGCAATTGACACTAGTAGTAAGAATGCTCTTAGTAGCAATGCCAGGAGCCCCTAGTAGCGTCCTTGCTCCTAGTACAGTAGTAAGGCCAGGAGCCCCTAGTAGCTTCTCGTTACCAGTAGTAATGCCCTTGTGTAATTGACATACATTGACATACTGACATACACACCACTGCGAGAAGATTCGGATGATTCCGCACGTTGGACAAAAACGTCCCTGGGTTCCGACGTGGTGTGTTCCGATCGTCAACTCCTTGTACTGGGCCCGTCTCCAGCGACACAAGGTTTTCGATCGCATGAGGTTTCACATCAACGGCTTGCACTTGGTGGTTGACTTCAAGTCTGCGAAACGGCTTGAATCTGGAGATCACCAATTATCTGAAACTCTTGTTTCCAGCTTGATTCACAGCCATCGCTATGTCCCTTTTTCCATCCTTTTAGTATCAAAACAGGTGTCACTTCGCAGGCACGGTACAGTGTCCAGGACAGCCCACCACCCCTTTCTCCAGTCACCCCACCCCTCCCTGGCTCCCGGCTCTCGGACGCTGTACTCTGCCAGGAAGGCCAAGACATCCGGGGTACCACCTTGGAAGGGCACCTCAGCAAACACGAAGCAAACCACAATGGCCTGTGATCGATGTGGATGTGGATGAAAAAAACCGACCTTCCAGTCTCCCATCTGAATTCATCCTGCACCACACATTCAACCTTCTTGGAAAGCGAACCAGCTGGTGAATCTGCAAAATCTCCATGAGATCAAGACGGTTGCAGCCAACGCTTGCGTGAAGCGACGCACAATCTCTCCTCTGGGCGGCCCAAACTCCACGAAGTCTCACCACGGTGCTGCTGACGCCTCGTTGGCTGGTGACCATCGGATTGCACTATGGTGCTGCATTGATTGCTGTTGATCAACAGCGCTAGGCGCTAGCTATGCATTGCCTATGTGTTGGTGTCATGGTTATTTGTGGTTCCTGACTGACCCGTTTGAACTCTGGCGCGTCAGCTCGTGCCATGTTCCAACCTGTTTGGACAAACTGTGTAAACATGTTGGTGGTCTTTCCTAGGATCACAAATCTCCAAATTTGCCTTTCCCCACTCAGTGTTGAGTACAGATTGAAAGCGGACCTTGCTCTTCCAGCGGTCCCAAGCACCCTTTGTTCAAAACAAATTTAATACTTAATCTCAACACTGGAAACATCAAAAACAGAACAAGGTGGCCTTGAAAACCATCGTGACATGTTTTAAGCCATCAAAACTCTCTGGTCAAACCAAAAACGTATTGGCTATGTTCAGAACAGGTTTAGGATTTAGGATTTACCCTGGTCCGTAAGGTCGTTGTTTGTTCGACCACGGCCAGTTCTATCCTTCGGTTACTAGAGGATCAACACCATGCGACGACTTGGTGGAGAAAACTAGTTCAACCTGCTTGTGGTTGCCAAATTCATAGTGGGATAGATTCCCCACACCTCCTTGTGGGTTTTCGCGGCCGTGCGTCACACATCGTCCCACGTGCGTGGCACCCTGTCGTTTTTTGGGTGCCCCGGGCAAATCTGCTGCGCTGCCAGCTCCACATCATTGCCACAACGGATGGCCTGTCAACAGTGGAGACCGCGCGTGTGGCTGGAAGTGGCTAATGCATTTTAAAGGTACGTCCGTTCCAAAAAACTTTACTGGCACTGATCATCCCGAGTTAGTAAAGGCACAGAAAGTCGACAAGTTATAATGCTTGACACAATTGGATGGTACCGACCAGGTGTGGATAATACGTCTGCACAAAATTCCTTCAAACAAATGCAAATAACTCCTGGAGGTTCACGAGTTGCTCAAATGCCACCTGCTGTCTCGAGTTTCATCTCCCAAGATCCTTAAGCCTGGGGACAAGTGATAACTAACACACACTTAGATCCATGCTCGCAAGAGCTAAATCAGTTTGGCAACTCCCATGAGGTTAGCACTTTAGGTGAATACTTAGCGCTTGACTTGCAGAAACGCAAAAGTCGGCGGACCAGAATGTTTGAACAACGGCTCACTAGCACTTTACGAGAAGAGGAGAGTGACAGCTTATTCAACAGTTCAAAGAAGAAAGGTGAGATTCAAATTTGCAGGTGCAAGATACTGCGTCCAGTATCTCATCCAACCGAACACCATAGCTTTGTTGGCACGACTAGTCTGGACATAGGTTTAAACGGTTTAAATAGAAATTGGCAGGTTCAAAAAGCTTTTACTCAAACAATGTGGTGATTCTCCTTTGGAACAGGAGGTGACACACTCACACACACAGCCAAACAATTGTAGAATTTTGTCCATGAGTGGCCGGGCCTGTCAACACTTGAACGAAGGGCGCTGGTGGAAACAAAGGGCGCTGTGGAACCACCAAGCGCCAGCCAATTTCGTTGCAAAATGACAATTCTTGGTAAAAGAACTGGACCACAGAAGACGGGGGATGTTACTAAACCAAAATCTAAGTAGAAACCCATATGGGATACATTGGGATACCCTTGAAACATGTTTATCCAGTAAGGTTCCCACAAAGGAATTTCAGAGGTACAAAAACAAGGCCACGTGTTGATAC